AAGAGACATGAAGAAGAGGGGACACATGTTGATGAAGAAGAGACATGAAGAAGAGGGGACACATGTTGATGAAGAAGAGACATGAAGAAGAGGGGACACATGTTGATGAAGAAGAGACATGAAGAAGAGGGGACACATGTTGATGAAGAAGAGACATGAAGAAGAGGGGACACATGTTGATGTAGAAGAGACATGAAGAAGAGGGGACACATGTTGATGAAGAAGAGACATGAAGGAGAGGGGACACATGTTGATGTAGAGGAGACATGAAGAAGAGGGGACACATGTTGATGTAGAAGAGACATGAAGAAGAGGGGACACATGTTGATGAAGAAGAGACATGAAGAAGAGGGGACACATGTTGATGAAGAAGAGACATGAAGAAGAGGGGACACATGTTGATGAAGAAGAGACATGAAGAAGAGGGGACACATGTTGATGTAGAAGAGACATGAAGAAGAGGGGACACATGTTGATGAAGAAGAGACATGAAGAAGAGGGGACACATGTTGATGTAGAAGAGACATGAAGAAGAGGGGACACATGTTGATGAAGAAGAGACATGAAGAAGAGGGGACACATGTTGATGTAGAAGAGACATGAAGAAGAGGGGACACATGTTGATATAGAAGAGACATGAAGAAGAGGGGACACATGTTGATGAAGAAGAGACATGAAGAAGAGGGGGACACATGTTGATATAGAAGAGACATGAAGAAGAGGGGACACATGTTGATGTAGAAGAGACATGAAGAAGAGGGGACACATGTTGATATAGAAGAGACATGAAGAAGAGGGGACACATGTTGATGAAGAAGAGACATGAAGAAGAGGGGACACATGTTGATGAAGAAGAGACATGAAGAAGAGGGGGACACATGTTGATGTAGAAGAGACATGAAGAAGAGGGGACACATGTTGATGAAGAAGAGACATGAAGAAGAGGGGACACATGTTGATGTAGAAGAGACATGAAGAAGAGGGGACACATGTTGATGAAGAAGAGACATGAAGAAGAGGGGACACATGTTGATGAAGAAGAGACATGAAGAAGAGGGGACACATGTTGATGTAGAAGAGACATGAAGAAGAGGGGACACATGTTGATGAAGAAGAGACATGAAGAAGAGGGGACACATGTTGATGTAGAAGAGACATGAAGAAGAGGGGACACATGTTGATGAAGAAGAGACATGAAGAAGAGGGGACACATGTTGATGTAGAAGAGACATGAAGAAGAGGGGACACATGTTGATGTAGAAGAGACATGAAGAAGAGGGGACACATGTTGATGTAGAAGAGACATGAAGAAGAGGGGACACATGTTGATGTAGAAGAGACATGAAGAAGAGGGGACACATGTTGATGTAGAAGAGACATGAAGAAGAGGGGACACGTGTTGATGAAGAAGAGACATGAAGAAGAGGGGACACATGTTGATGAAGAAGAGACATGAAGAAGAGGGGACACATGTTGATGTAGAAGAGACATGAAGAAGAGGGGACACGTGTTGATGTAGAAGAGACATGAAGAAGAGGGGACACGTGTTGATGAAGAAGAGACATGAAGAAGAGGGGACACATGTTGATGTAGAAGAGACATGAAGAAGAGGGGACACGTGTTGATGAAGAAGAGACATGAAGAAGAGGGGACACATGTTGATATAGAAGAGACATGAAGAAGAGGGGACACATGTTGATGTAGAAGAGACATGAAGAAGAGGGGACACATGTTGATGAAGAAGAGACATGAAGAAGAGGGGACACATGTTGATGAAGAAGAGACATGAAGAAGAGGGGACACATGTTGATGTAGAAGAGACATGAAGAAGAGGGGACACATGTTGATGTAGAAGAGACATGAAGAAGAGGGGACACATGTTGATGAAGAAGAGACATGAAGAAGAGGGGACACATGTTGATGTAGAAGAGACATGAAGAAGAGGGGACACATGTTGATGAAGAAGAGACATGAAGAAGAGGGGACACATGTTGATGAAGAAGAGACATGAAGAAGAGGGGACACATGTTGATGAAGAAGAGACATGAAGAAGAGGGGACACATGTTGATGTAGAAGAGACATGAAGAAGAGGGGACACATGTTGATGAAGAAGAGACATGAAGAAGAGGGGACACATGTTGATGTAGAAGAGACATGAAGAAGAGGGGACACATGTTGATATAGAAGAGACATGAAGAAGAGGGGACACATGTTGATGAAGAAGAGACATGAAGAAGAGGGGACACATGTTGATATAGAAGAGACATGAAGAAGAGGGGACACATGTTGATGTAGAAGAGACATGAAGAAGAGGGGACACATGTTGATATAGAAGAGACATGAAGAAGAGGGGACACATGTTGATGAAGAAGAGACATGAAGAAGAGGGGACACATGTTGATGAAGAAGAGACATGAAGAAGAGGGGACACATGTTGATGTAGAAGAGACATGAAGAAGAGGGGACACATGTTGATGAAGAAGAGACATGAAGAAGAGGGGACACATGTTGATGTAGAAGAGACATGAAGAAGAGGGGACACATGTTGATGAAGAAGAGACATGAAGAAGAGGGGACACATGTTGATGAAGAAGAGACATGAAGAAGAGGGGGACACATGTTGATGTAGAAGAGACATGAAGAAGAGGGGACACATGTTGATGAAGAAGAGACATGAAGAAGAGGGGACACATGTTGATGTAGAAGAGACATGAAGAAGAGGGGACACATGTTGATGAAGAAGAGACATGAAGAAGAGGGGACACATGTTGATGTAGAAGAGACATGAAGAAGAGGGGACACATGTTGATGTAGAAGAGACATGAAGAAGAGGGGACACATGTTGATGTAGAAGAGACATGAAGAAGAGGGGACACATGTTGATGTAGAAGAGACATGAAGAAGAGGGGACACATGTTGATGTAGAAGAGACATGAAGAAGAGGGGACACGTGTTGATGAAGAAGAGACATGAAGAAGAGGGGACACATGTTGATGAAGAAGAGACATGAAGAAGAGGGGACACATGTTGATGTAGAAGAGACATGAAGAAGAGGGGGACACGTGTTGATGTAGAAGAGACATGAAGAAGAGGGGACACGTGTTGATGAAGAAGAGACATGAAGAAGAGGGGACACATGTTGATGTAGAAGAGACATGAAGAAGAGGGGACACGTGTTGATGAAGAAGAGACATGAAGAAGAGGGGACACATGTTGATATAGAAGAGACATGAAGAAGAGGGGACACATGTTGATGTAGAAGAGACATGAAGAAGAGGGGACACATGTTGATATAGAAGAGACATGAAGAAGAGGGGACACATGTTGATGTAGAAGAGACATGAAGAAGAGGGGACACATGTTGATGTAGAAGAGACATGAAGAAGAGGGGACACATGTTGATATAGAAGAGACATGAAGAAGAGGGGACACATGTTGATGAAGAAGAGACATGAAGAAGAGGGGACACATGTTGATGAAGAAGAGACATGAAGGAGAGGGGACACATGTTGATGTAGAAGAGACATGAAGAAGAGGGGACACATGTTGATGAAGAAGAGACATGAAGAAGAGGGGACACATGTTGATGTAGAAGAGACATGAAGAAGAGGGGACACATGTTGATGTAGAAGAGACATGAAGAAGAGGGGACACATGTTGATGAAGAAGAGACATGAAGAAGAGGGGACACATGTTGATGTAGAAGAGACATGAAGAAGAGGGGACACATGTTGATGAAGAAGAGACATGAAGAAGAGGGGACACATGTTGATGAAGAAGAGACATGAAGAAGAGGGGACACATGTTGATGTAGAAGAGACATGAAGAAGAGGGGACACATGTTGATGTAGAAGAGACATGAAGAAGAGGGGACACATGTTGATGTAGAAGAGACATGAAGAAGAGGGGACACATGTTGATGTAGAGAAGAGACATGAAGAAGAGGGGACACATGTTGATGAAGAAGAGACATGAAGAAGAGGGGACACATGTTGATGTAGAAGAGACATGAAGAAGAGGGGACACATGTTGATGAAGAAGAGACATGAAGAAGAGGGGACACATGTTGATGTAGAAGAGACATGAAGAAGAGGGGACACATGTTGATGTAGAAGAGACATGAAGAAGAGGGGACACATGTTGATATAGAAGAGACATGAAGAAGAGGGGACACATGTTGATGTAGAAGAGACATGAAGAAGAGGGGACACATGTTGATATAGAAGAGACATGAAGAAGAGGGGACACATGTTGATGAAGAAGAGACATGAAGAAGAGGGGACACATGTTGATGAAGAAGAGACATGAAGGAGAGGGGACACATGTTGATGTAGAAGAGACATGAAGAAGAGGGGACACATGTTGATGTAGAAGAGACATGAAGAAGAGGGGACACATGTTGATGTAGAAGAGACATGAAGAAGAGGGGACACATGTTGATGAAGAAGAGACATGAAGAAGAGGGGACACATGTTGATGAAGAAGAGACATGAAGAAGAGGGGACACATGTTGATGAAGAAGAGACATGAAGAAGAGGGGACACATGTTGATGTAGAAGAGACATGAAGAAGAGGGGACACATGTTGATGTAGAAGAGACATGAAGAAGAGGGGACACATGTTGATGAAGAAGAGACATGAAGAAGAGGGGACACATGTTGATGTAGAAGAGACATGAAGAAGAGGGGACACATGTTGATGAAGAAGAGACATGAAGAAGAGGGGACACATGTTGATGTAGAAGAGACATGAAGAAGAGGGGACACATGTTGATGTAGAAGAGACATGAAGAAGAGACATGAGGAAGTTGATTTTGCATAATAGGTGACCTTTAACTAAATATTTAAACAATACAGGTTTCATTTCTAAAATGTTGTTTTTTGTTTGTTTTAAGAAATGGTCTTTCAGTACACACTCCGGTACAGCAGGGGGCGGCACCTTCAAACGTTGGCTTTAAAACCGCCATCAAAAACAACTAAAGAAGAAGAAGAAAGGAACTACTTCCGGTTGACGATGTTCACGTTTTGATGTCCTTGGTGGATATTTCATAATAAACGCGATAAATATCACTTATTATACGTTTTGTTGTATTCCTCCGGATTTCTGACCGCGGCGGGAGTTTGTTCCGCATCCAGTGAGTCGGTATGTGAAAAACATGTATCTAAAATAATAACAAATAACCTCTGTGTTGTTTTCTGTTAGCATGAAGCTAACGTTAGCATGTAGACAGATGGGTGATTTATGAGTATAAGTACAAGACCTGAGTACTTCTACTTTTACTCAAGTACAAGACCTGAGTACTTCTACTTTTACTCAAGTACAAGACCTGAGTACTTCTACTTTTACTCAAGTACAAGACCTGAGTACTTCTACTTTTACTCAAGTACAAGACCTGAGTACTTCTACTGTTACTGAAGTACAGGTTGTGAGTACTTCTACTGTTACTGAAGTACAGGTTGTGAGTACTTCTACTTTTACTCAAGTACAAGACCTGAGTACTTCTACTTTTACTCAAGTATAAGACCGGAGTACTTCTACTGTTACTGAAGTACAGGTTGTGAGTACTCCTCTCCCCTCAGCAGAAAGTCAATGTGTGTAAAGGCGAATTTAAACTCCGTGTAGTTTGTCGTGTACTCCTATCATCCTATTCGTTCCCATCTTAACTTAAATACACTACGTATATGTTTTTGTTATCGCTCTTCTTTCTCAGACAGAATGTTTGTCCCTCTCTTGAATCTTGTTAGCGTGAGTGAGCATCCTTCACAAGAAGTCACCAAAGGGTTTGTCGTGTTTTTCCGAAACATCATCTTTTAGAAAACGTTACATCATCTGCTCTGTTTTTTAGAAATGTCTTTATTGTGGAGCGTGAGGCCGGCGCTGACGTCTCTGTTTCACGGTGAGTGGGATGGTGTGTGTGTGTGTGTGTGTGTGTGTGTGTGTGTGTGTGTGTGTGTGTGTGTGTGTGTGTGTGTGTGTGTGTGTGTGTGTGTGTGTGTGTGTGTGTGTGTGTGTGTGTGTGTGTGTGTGTGTGTGTGTGTGTGTGTGTGTGTGTGTGTGTGTGTGTGTGTGTGTGTGTGTGTGTGTGTGTGTGTGTGTGTGTGTGTGTGTGTGTGTGTGTGTGTGTGTGTGTGTGTGTGTGTGTGTGTGTGTGTAGAGCTTTGAGGAGCTGATAAAGAGATATATTATATATCTAATATATGACTATATAAGTACAGAACATTTATCATTTACAAAATGGCACGCATTCATTAAGACAACGCCTCATTTGCATATTTAAACATATCATGTCAGAAAATGTGTAATATAAAGAATAATTGTGTTAATGTCAGTACTGAAGTTGGGGGTGATACCTGTTAGTTACAGTTTTGCTCAGCTGCAGTGTCTCCCTATATAATCTGAATGTCCCCTCCCTGCAGCCTCCCAGCATGCACCTCTCTGGTCGGGTCGCACTATGGCCACTCTGAACCAGATGCACCGTCAGGGGAAACCCAAATCTCCGCCCCAGCCCGTGGGCGCCACGTTCGGACGGCCGCAGCTGAAGGCCGTGGTTCTGAAGACCATGATCCGGAAGCCCAAGAAGCCCAACTCGGCCAACAGGAAGTGCGCTCGCGTGCGTCTGTCCAACGGGAAGGAGGTGGTGGTGTTCATCCCCGGGGAGGGACACAACCTGCAGGAGCACAACGTGGTGCTGGTGGAGGGGGGGCGCACCCAGGACCTGCCCGGGGTCAAACTGAAGGTGGTGCGCGGGAAATATGACTGTGCTCACGTGGTGAAGAAGACTCACTGATGAGAGAGAGAGAGAGTGTGTGTGTGTGTGTGTGTGTGTGTGATGAAGATGTTGTTGTGTTAATAAATGAAGTTACCATGAGGGCGAGTCAGAACTTTGCTTTGGGTTCACTGCGAGGCCAGAAGTTTCAAGGCTTTTATTGTCATGTGTTCGTAGCTACAGTGTAGTTATGTCAATGAACATATTAGGCTCCTCCAACAGAGCAACACAGATCAAATAGTGCAAGAAGAGTCTATATACAAGTAGATGGAATTTGATATATTAGATAAATAATGTGTAAGTTGCAAACAGATGAATGTTCTTTCCAAAGTTCACGTGTGTAACGGTCTGATGTGGACACTAACTTTCATGTTTTTATTATTTACGTATTTTCTGGATTTTACCTGTAAGAAAAAAATCGATAAGATGTCAAACTGGATCTGCAATCATTAAAGGAATACTTCATCCAACAATGCAGATTTTATCCTTTCAAATGTGGAGATTTTATATTCAAGGTTTATTGTCCTAACATAAACACAACTACGGTTTAATTATGTATGAACACAAACTTAGATTGCAGGTTCCTCAACAGTGCAACTACAAGACATACAAAAAAAACCCCATCATATTAAAGTGAATATATTCGGACACACCATCGTGGACATTTCACGATATTCTGGCTTTTTATTAACCATGCCGTCAATGGTCGATTTAGAAAATAATCTGCAGATTAATTAAAACATCAAAATATGTTTTAGGTTCAGGTCTAAATGTCAGGTTAGGATAAAACGAAGCATCCGAAAGGAAACTGTTTTACAAATAAATACGACTTGTGAAGAACACATACTTTAAAATAGCAGTTTGTACCAGAAGTTGGCCATGTTTATACTCCCGGTGAGTGGATTTTAAGGAATTTAGGGTCGAGTTTAAGGGGACTCAAAACAGCCTTTTTGATCCTAAATGTGTCAGAAATAGATTTGTATGGCAGTGTATTGGGATGTATGGACCCCCAGCAGGGGCAGGGATGCTGGAATAGCTCAATACAAAGCCATGTAGGGGTTTTAGAGGAACAGTGTGGAAAGATCAAGTGGTAATGAGCATGTTAAGAATTGGACACAGCAATCCTAATAGTACACTTTTAGAAAACAGGGTTCTGTGATTTGAGCAATGAGCGGGAAACAGTTGAACATGTTGTCCTCCTGCAGGGAAAATACTCAGCAAAGACAGCAAATGATGACAAGGCTAAGGAAAGTGGGAAGAGTTGGAAGTATATTGGATTGTGGAGAACACTCAGGGGAGGGAAACTGGTCTGGTGGACAGACTTCAAGGAAAGGAACAGTAACATCCAGAAGGAGGCAGCAATGATCCTGTGGATGCAAACTGCCGTAAAGCACCGAAGAAGAACCCCGTGGAGCTAACTGAAGCTACTGGACGTTTTAAAAACTGTCAAAAACGTTCAGACCCTTTTAACCAGTTGTTTCATTGGCCCTTTTCTGAAAACTACGTACACGGTAAGTGTTGTAGTGTTTCGTGACCGTTAACGCTTTAATGTAACACTACAGCAGCTGCTAAGCTAAGAGGACCGCCTGTGCCTGTTTAAATTCAGCCATATGTACCTGCCTTTTAGCGAAGTAAGGTGTATTTTTGGTCATTCACACACTCCTGAAATTAGCCTGAATACTCCTGAATGGTTGTTGAGAACTGTTTATTTTCTGTAGTCGGATAATCTCTACAACTTTGATTACAAAAAATAGATTAAAGTAATATTGAAGGACAGGAATGAGCGTTTCGCTGAGGCAGCTGTTCAGGACCGCGTTCTGTTATATTACGCCTGCACTAGCTTACACAGGCTAACACAGCTAGCGTCACGTTAAGGCAAACATAGAACCGTTTCCTGCTCCTGGAGGGTTTTAAAACGGTGTCAATCATTTTGGATCTTTTTTAACCACGTTGTGTGTCATTCCTATTCCTGACAATGAAGTAACAGTACGTGTGTGTTTCCGTGAACATGTACGCTATCATGTACCACTACAGCAGCTGCTAAGCTAAGAGTGCCTGTTTAATTTCACCCATATTTACCTGCCTTTTACCGAAGCTAGGTGTATTTTCGGTCATTTACACACTCCTGAAATTGGCCTGAATACTCCTGAATGGATGTTGAGGACTGTTTCTTTCCTGCAGTGGCATAATATTTCCAACTTTAATTCTGAAAAATCTATTAAATGTACAACGAACGACAGGTCTTGTTTTTGAGTAAAAGTAGAAGTACTCAGATCTTGTACTTGAGTAAAAGTAGAAGTACTCAGATCTTGAGTAAAGTACTCAGATCTTGTACTTGAGTAAAGTAGAAGTACTCAGATCTTGTTCTTGAGTAAAAGTAGAAGTACTCACAACCTGTACTTCAGTAAAAGTAGAAGTACTCAGATCACTACTTCAGTAAAAGTAGAAGTACTCAGGTCTTGTTCTTGAGTAAAAGTAGAAGTACTCAGATCTTGTACTTGAGTAAAAGTAGAAGTACTCAGATCTTGTACTTGAGTAAAAGTAGAAGTACTCAGATCACTACTTGAGTAAAAGTAGAAGTACTCAGATCACTACTTGAGTAAAAGTAGAAGTACTCAGATCGTGTACTTGAGTAAAAGTAGAAGTACCAGAGTGTAGGAATACTCTGTTACAGTAAAAGTCCTGCATTCAAAATGTTCCTCAAGTAAAAGTATAAAAGTATTCTCATCAAAATATAGTGAAAGTAGCGACAGTAAAAGTAGTCATTGTGCAGATTGGTCCATTTCAGAATAATATATATGATATGTTTTATAATGATTGATCATGAAAGTGTTCTCAAAGCTGGTAAAGGTGCAGCTAGTTTGAATGACTTTGTATACTGCAGGGTAGCTTGTGGATTTACTCCAGGTGGAACTAAAGTCTGATTTAACACTTGATTATATTTCACATCATTCATCCACATCTGTGAAGTAACTAAAGGGATTTATACAATAATAAAGCATTATTTATTGTACAAAACTTCAACTGTTTTAAACTAGTTTCCGTCAGATTCAGTCAGCCGTGATTCGACACGACTTTGATATTTCAATCTGATTTACATTTGAATGTCTCAGGCGTGAGGAGAGGTCCGGCTTCAGGAGGAGCAGAGCCCGAGGAGATGAATGGGGGGACAGCAGAACCACGAGGAGAGGACGATGAGGAGGAGCTTCCTGCTGAAGGTCAGCGCTACACCGGTTCATATTTTAAACGCTGTTGACATTAGAAACTCTATTTTTTGTAGGCGTTTGCTTTACGGGTGGATTTTCTTGCGTTTGGACAGGCTAGCTGATCCCATCAGTCAGAATGCTAAGCTAAGCTAAGCAGCTGCTGGCTGTAGCTTTATACAGACATGAGAATCAGAATCCAGTTTATTGAGGTTTTCACATGCAAGGCATCGGCTTTGGTGCACACATGGACACAGGGAGAGCTATTACGTTGTAAACAACAGTGGAGCAAATATAGAACTATTATAGACATTATTTTGGAAACAATTGTTAAAAATAGAATGTAAAAAAGTTACTTTAGAAATATATAATATGTGCAGAATATTACAATTTTAAAGGGGCGGAGCTATGCCTGTACACTCTAAATGTTTTTGTTAATCAGCCAATCAAAAATACTTTATTAATCCCTCTGGAATTAGTTGCAACAATAAATAACTACTCATATAAACACAAGTTGACGTATAAACGTGCAATTAATATCCCTGCAGCCACTGGGGAGGTGAAGCGTTCTGAAATGTGCTCTAAATCAGGGGTTCCCAACCCCCGGTCTGCGGACCGGTACCGGGCCGCGGAGGTGTTACTGCCGGGCCGCGAAATAGCTGTGAGTTTATCGTAATATTTGCAGAATTATAAATATATAAAAATATTTTATCATAATATTTTTTTCAAAAAGTGTTTAATTTTCGCACCTATGCCACCAGTCATATTATTTCATCCAGTAGCTAGTTAATCTTTCACCAGAAAACGGTTGAAAATGGCTTTTATGATGTTCCGAGGGATTCGGCGGCTCAGCCTAAGGTCTCAGCCTCTTGTGCGCACGAGAATGTTACCGGTGCGCCAAGTAGGAAGAGGAGCCCACAGGAGACAACCGTTTGATTGCAGACTGTTATGTTTATGTGGGGAAATGGTGGTGCATACATTATTTGAGATAGATTTCAAACTCGGACTTCATTTTAAGGACATGTCGGCCAGGAGTGTAGAGCTATTTGTTTAAGCACCGGATTGGCAAAACAGGAGAGTAAACCAGTCTGCCTTGATCTATGAATTCATGTCCGGGACTCTCACGGTATCTTCTGCCCGCAGCTGCTTTATAGAAGAAAAACCTCCTTCACTTCATGAAATGGCTGAAGCATCAGGAGGCAGCGGGACGTATACTCGGTAAAGAGCTGTGCCTTTTTACGCACCGCATTCGCTGTGTTTAACTTCATCAGAACAGTTTAAGAGTGACTGCAGGCTGCTACGTGTTAACCACACACACATCTACACACATCTCTACACACACCTCTACACACATCGAACTGCCCGATTACTCCCCCTTTTATTAGTTTTATGAAGGAGATGTCCAGTCAGTCACCAAGGCGCATGTGTGTGTGTATGTGCTCTGCTCAGCTCAGCTCTGTGTGTTCGGTGTGTTTGTGTCCGACACCGGCATATATGCGGCTGTTCCCAAAATAAATTAGTTTAATCTTAATCTCGATGTAGTGCTATGCTGTCGGGAGTGCACCGGAACGAACGACACTATCATAATATCTTCTGAAAACAAATGCCAGTGTCACTCACACACACACACACACACACACACACACACACACACACACACACACACACACACAGGCGACCGGACATCTCCTTCATAATGCGCCTTCTCCTCGTTTTCCCAGCATTCACTGGATTATCCGTAAATCATACAAACAAAACCAAAACGTTGATTTATCTGTTTTCCCGTTTTGGTTTGAAAACTGAATAACGTCGGTTTTTTGGTTTTCTGAAAAACCAAAAAACAACACCGGTTCTTTTTTAAACTTTGCTAATATGTTTTGGATGCATATTGTTCTAGTATTTGTTCAGGCTGTTACATACAATTAGACTCTGTTGCTACCTGCTGGTGGTGAGTAAATATTAAAATCAGTTAAAATTGACAACCGGTCCGCGATTTTTTTTTAATGTATCTACCGGTCCTTGGCACAATAAAGGTTGGGAACCCCTGCTCTAAATGAATATGCATGTTGAGTGAGTGGGCAGCAGGTGATTCATGTCAGTCATTTCCTGCAGACACCAAGACCTCCAAAAAGAGACGCCCTCCCCCCAAACTCGTGCACAAATGTTTGGTATGCAGCCGCATGTTCTGCCGGCCCTCTCGGCTGGCGGATCACATGACCCTGCACACCGGAGAGAAACCGCACGGCTGCTCCGTGTGCGAGAGGAGTTTCGCCAATAAGACCAGCCTGGCTCATCACAAGCGCGTTCACACCGGGGAGAAGCCGTACTCCTGCGATGAATGCCACGCCTGCTTCCGCCTGTACGGCTGCCTGGCGCGCCACCGGATGCAGCACAGCGGGGAGCGCCCGCACCGCTGCTCCACCTGCGGCCGCGGCTTCTTCCGCCGCCGGTACCTCCTGGAGCACGAGCGCACGCACACTGGAGAGAGGCCTTTCTGCTGCACGCTCTGCCCCAAAACCTACCCTTCCCGGGCGTCGCTCAAAGAGCACCAGTGGCAACACAGCGAGGGCAGCAGCTGCTCCGTCTGCGGGAAGGACTTCCCCACAGCAGGCTCCCTCCGCAAGCACCTGAGGGTGCACGCCACCAATTACACTAAAACACACCAATGCACGCTGTGCAGCCGCAGCTTCAGCAGACCCTGCCTGATGAGGAAACACCTGCTGACTCACAACCTTCAGACTCACGACCTTCAGACTCACGACCTTCAGACTCAGGACCTGCAGACTCACGACCTGCAGACTCACGACCTTCAGACTCACGACCTTCAGACTCAGGACCTGCAGACTCACGACCTGCAGACACACGACCTTCAGGAGGCAGAGGTCATCCCAGCTGCAGCCAGCAACGTGAGTCACAGCTTTAAACATCAACCTGTCAAATATTTTATATTATTGATTAAATCTCTCTTTTTTTTTTAACCATTTATAAATCAATGTTAAAGACATTCTGAGTAAAATCTTCTTTTTTATTAAATGATATATTATTTGATCAAGTGACTGTAGACATAAATGTGTAACATCTTGGACTTTATTTCTTAGTCACTAAAATCCATATTTCTTATTTACATGGAGCGACAGTTTTATATTTGTTCTACTTTAATAAAGTAATAATAATTTAAAGTTCACTCATTTTGTGACTTTTGACACAAAATGAGTGAATTCCTTATCTTTTATTTTATATAACATTTTCCTTTTTTTTATGTTTTATAAATCTTGTGTAAAATGAAAAAATATTCTTAAAGTTGCCGAATTCTAACAACTGACTTTATTTTTGAAATTCTGAAAATGTTGACTTTTTCTAGAGATTTGGATTATTTTTTTTATTTGAGCTCTTTTCAAATTCTTTACTTTTTTCTGAAATTTCTGACTTATTTTCAAAAAAATCTGACTTTTTATCAAAATCTCAGAATTATGACTTTAAAAAAAAAAGATCTGACTTTTTTTCAAAATAATCAGAATTGTTTCTCAACATTTTACAATCCTGCTTCTTTCCTCAAAATTCTGACTTTTTTCTCAAAATTCTGATTTTTTTCTCAAAATTCTCAAAATTCAGACCTAACATTTTTTACTTCTGAGCTTTTCTCAGCATCTTGACTTCCTGCAGTCACTCACAGAACTAACACACAGAGGGTTGAGCAGTAATCGGGGAAGGGGGCGGGGCTACATAACATGTCCGTTTATACGTGCTCTGGTTTGTCACTCTTAAACCCAGGTGAAGTCATAGTCGAGTATAACGGGATTTAAACTGAGCTGCAACAAAACAAGTGGTTGTGCAGCAAACGTCAGATTTAATAATAAAAGATGAGGTGCTGTGGTTCGTTTCAGGAGTTCTGGTTAAACGTAAAGACTGAAGAGGAAGAGGAGGAGGAAGTTCAGATGATGAAGATCGAGGAGGAGGAGGGTCTGAAGGAGCAGGTAACGAATTCAGCTTCGACGACGGAGTCCTTTTCAATCATCCTGTGTAAAGAAATACTTGGAATACTTTAGACGTTAGAACACACACACACACACACACACACACACACACACACACACACACACACACACACTCTTTATGTGTCTTTTTGTTGCCTGAAATTAGACTAAATTGTTGTTTTATGTTATTAAGACATTGTTTTCTGTTTGTTCCCAGGACTCGGAGGAGCTTTCTCCCCCCGCAGAGTCCAGACCGCGTGTCCATGAAGACGCCTCGCAACCGGAGGAGGGAGAGGAGGGAGAGGAGGGAGAGGAGGGAGAGGAGGGAGAGGAGGGAGGAGTCATCAGCAGTTTAATCAACTCTGACGGGGAGGAAGAGTCCTTGGGACCGTCTCAAATCGGTACGTCTGCAGATATTAAAGAGGGCATATTCTGCTGGATTTTGACTCTCAGGGATTTGAGCCTTTGCAGACCGTTAACATTCAGAAACACCCATAGAACACTACACTCAGACGCTCAGACGCTCAGTCGCTCAGTCGCTCAGACGCTCAGTCGCTCAGACGCTCAGACGCTCAGTCGCTCAGACGCTCAGTCGCTCAGTCGCTCAGACGCTCAGACGCTCAGTCGCTCAGTCGCTCAGACGCTCAGACGCTCAGTCGCTCAGACGCTCAGACGCTCAGTCGCTCAGACGCTCAGTCGTCAGAGCTCAGTCCGCTCAGTCGCTCAGACGCTCAGCGCTCAGTCGCTCAGTACGCTCAGACGCTCAGTCGCTCAGACGCTCAGTCGCTCAGACGCTCAGACGCTCAGACGCTCAGACGCTCAGTCGCTCAGTCGCTCAGACGCTCAGACGCTCAGACGCTCAGACGCTCAGACGCTCAGTCGCTCAGACGCTCAGTCGCTCAGACGCTCAGTCGCTCAGTCGCTCAGGTCGCTTCAGTCGCTCAGACGCTCAGTCGCTCAGTCGCTCAGTTCAGATCGCTCAGTCGCTCAGACGCCTCAGACGCTCAGTCGCTCAGACGCTCAGACGCTCAGTCAGTCGCTCAGTCGCTCAGACGCTCAGTCGCTCAGTCGCTCAGACGCTCAGACGCTCAGTCGCTCAGACGCTCAGACGCTCAGTCGCTCAGACGCTCAGTCGCTCAGACGCTCAGACGCTCAGACGCTCAGACGCTCAGTCGCTCAGACGCTCAGACGCTCAGACGCTCAGACGCTCAGACGCTCAGACGCTCAGTCGCTCAGTCGCTCAGACGCTCAGTCGCTCAGACGCTCAGTCGCTCAGTCGCTCAGTCGCTCAGTCGCTCAGACGCTCAGTCGCTCAGTCGCTCAGTCGCTCAGTCGCTCAGTCGCTCAGACGCTCAGACGCTCAGTCGCTCAGACGCTCAGACGCTCAGTCGCTCAGTCGCTCAGACGCTCAGACGCTCAGTCGCTCAGACGCTCAGACGCTCAGTCGCTCAGACGCTCAGACGCTCAGACGCTCAGACGCTCAGACGCTCAGACGCTCAGACGCTCAGTCGCTCAGTCGCTCAGACGCTCAGACGCTCAGACGCTCAGTCGCTCAGACGCTCAGACGCTCAGACGCTCAGTCGCTCAGACGCTCAGTCGCTCAGTCGCTCAGTCGCTCAGACGCTCAGTCGCTCAGTCGCTCAGTACGCTCAGTCGCTCAGACGCTCAGTCCGCTCAGACGCTCAGACGCTCGGCTCAGACGCTCAGCGCTCAGCGCTCAGTCGCTCAGACGCTCAGTCGCCTCAGACGCTCAGTCGCTCAGACGCTCAGTCGCTCAGACGCTCAGACGCTCAGACGCTCAGACGCTCAGACGCTCAGACGCTCAGACGCTCAGACGCTCAGACGCTCAGTCGCTCAGACGCTCAGACGCTCAGACGCTCAGACGCTCAGACGCTCAGTCGCTCAGACGCTCAGTCGCTCAGACGCTCAGTCGCTCAGACGCTCAGTCGCTCAGACGCTCAGTCGCTCAGACGCTCAGACGCTCAGTCGCTCAGACGCTCAGACGCTCAGACGCTCAGACGCTCAGTCAGAATTATTACTTTTTCTCAAAATCTTAATATTCACATTTTTCTCACTTACAATTCTGACTTTTTCTTCAAAATTATGATTTTTTTTCTTCTCAAAATTATTATTTTCTTCCTCAAAATCTTAAAGGTAGGGTAGGTAAGTTTGAGAAACCGGCTCGAGATACACTTGTTGTTATATTCCATGGAATGCTCTTAACATCCCGATAGCAATGAATATCTGAAGTGCTTTGACAAAAAATCCATAAAGAAATATCATCTGTGGAAGCCGTGGTACTGTAAAAAGCACGACCAATCATCTGAGCCGGCCCGGCTAAAATAACTGGATGGCCTACCTGCCTGTCAGCCTTCCATCTGTGCACAAACTTATCTCGTGCCCTCATTGGTCATGTGCGCGTTCGTGTGTGTTGGAGGAGGGGCTCTGTGAGGAAGTGGCAGATTCTTTCCCGCTGTGTATTTTCAAATGCTAGCGATCTCGAGCCGGTTTCTCAAATGTACCTACCCCACCTTTAAAATGACTTTTTATCAAGATCTCAGAATTATGACTTTTTTTCAAAACATTAATGTTTGACTTTCTCTGAAAATCTTACAATTCGGACTTTTTTCTCAAAATTCTGACTTTCCTCATTATGATTTTTTTTTCTTCTCAAAATTATGATTTTCTTCCTCAAAATCTTAATATTATGACTTATCAAAATCTTAATATTCGCACTTTTTCTCAAAATCTTACAATTATGACTTTCTCAAAATTATGACTTTCCTCAAAATTATGAATTGAAGTGTATTTAGGTATATACATATTTTTATATATATTTGTTTTTGTATTCGAGATTGTGGGAAACTGTATTTCGATCTCTCTTGACATTAAAGTAGACTGACTTCAGGAGAGGGAACACCACAGACAGCAGAATAGGGCCTCTTTAAGTAAACAACGCCTCTCTCTGATAATCCCTGAATGTGTCACTGACAGAACAAGATGGCGGCTCAGAGACGGAGGCAGACGGGAAGAGTAAGTACCGATGTCGGGTCTGCGGTCGGGACTGCTTCAAGACGTCGGCGCTGCAGAAACACCTGAGGATCCACTCCGGGGAGAAACCCTTCCAGTGCCCCACCTGCAAGAAGAGCTTCACACAGCAGGTGCGTCAACAGAGAAGAATGGTCATCTGTGCACGGTCTATTCCACAGACATGTTGCCCTATGGAGAATCCACTGTGGCTCTGAGGAATACCCATAATCCTTTGTTTTTACGACTCCATGAAGTGGTACAGTGATGACGTATTTCTGTGTTGGTCCCTGAAGGCAGCATCTCCCTGGTCCAATGGGATGTCTCCATGTGATTTCGGATTATGTCAGCAAATAATCTCGTTTATGATTCTTACACGTTTAGTTCAGCAGATGATCTCCACATATTAACACCACTTTGTGATTTCTGGGGTAAAAAGCTAATGTTGGGCAATAGAGGAACTACAGCACGGTCACATGACTTCACGTCATCACCGCTAAGCTAAAGGTGGCTAATGTTGGGCTATAAAGGAACTACAGCACGGTCACATGACTTCACGTCACCACCGCTAAGCTAAAGGCGGCTAATGTTGGGCTATAAAGGAACTACAGCACGGTCACATGACTTCACGTCATCACCGCTAAGCTAAAGGTGGCTAATGTTGGGCTATAAAGGAACTACAGCACGGTCACATGACTTCACGTCACCACCGCTAAGCTAAAGGTGGCTAATGTTGGGCTATAAAGGAACTACAGCACGGTCACATGACTTCATTTCACCACCGCTAAGCTAAAGGTGGCTAATGTTGGGCTATAAAGGAACTACAGCACGGTCACATGACTTCACGTCACCACCGCTAAGCTAAAGGTGGCTAATGTTGGGCTATAAAGGAACTACAGCACGGTCACATGACTTCATGTCACCACCGCTAAGCTAAAGGTGGCTAATGTTGGGCTATAAGGGAACTACAGCACGGTCACATGACTTCACGTCACCACCGCTAAGCTAAAGGTGGCTAATGTTGGGCGTGATGACGTTTTGTCGTCTCATTTAGACACTTGTTAGCAACCGCCATTTTTAAATCCACCAGTGGGGTATTTACTGACGTAGTTTATGTGGTCGGACAAAACGTTAAAATCTCTTCAGCTTGTTTTAAGGCGAGACACGGCAGGCAAAAACATCGTTTTTCCTGCACTGGTCAATTTTGAGATTTTGTGCTATTTTGATTCCATAACATGTTTTCTTTCAGGCTTTTGGAAGGAAAACGTACAAAATACACATTTAAGTGTTTATTTTACTATAGTTTGTCTATTTGCGTCTGTAGATTTCTCCTACATTCACCAAAAGTTAGCATTCTAACGTAACATAAAGTACCGCGACCGCTGTTTGCACCATGTCATCAGAGGTATCGTTGGAAAGCTCCGTCTCTCCTGCACAATCTCATCGGATCCAAATATGGTCATTTCCTTTGTATCAGCAACCAATCGTGAAAGTGCAAAGGGGTCTTAAACCAAGAAACGAAATCTCATTGGCTGGTGTCAATTTCTGACAACGTGATTCGTTCAGATGCGTCACGTGGTGTGCTAAAGCACTTCCTGGTTAGCTTCCCGCTAGAAACTTAAATCTGAAAATGGCAAAATAACGGAGAAAAAAACGTTCACAGAGAAGACGACAACAATTGTCACTTGCACAAAGCAAGGTTATACAAAAAACAAATGACCCCGAACATGAAATACCTTCAGGGAGTGCGTCGATGCGCAAGCTATCATCCAGATAACAGGAGGGTTTAGCTAGCGTCACACTGAAATCTTTAAAGGTCGTTTTCTCAAAATGAGTTTTTTCTCCTACTCTGAGTTCGAAATGTCCACTTCAGTAGCAGTTACATACACCAAACCTTCCAGTTATATTCCTATCAATATTATGAAGGCTTTTACAGAAGGGTTTGTTCACATATCATTCATAGCCTGAATTATATAACATTTTATACCTAAAAACATGGTGAAAATTGATATTTTAGGGCTGTTGACAGTATTTTCTGATTTATGGAGTGATACAAAGAGATATCCAAAATCCCTTCTGTAAAAGCCTTAGTTTCTAATATGACTACAAAATGAAACAAGAATTTTGATCCTGGCTTTATCCAAAGTTCAGATTTCGGTTCCTGAAATGTGTTAAATATGCCCATATTTAATGAGATAATGGCTCATTTGCATATTTAAACATGCTATTTCAGAAAACTTGTAATACAAAAAACAATTGCCTTATTGTAAGTAATTAACTGGAGAAATTTCTAGCTGATATCTTTAAGTTAAAGAAATTACCATATTCACCTGGGGTGTCTCGCCTTAACCACAGACTTATTTCAGGATAACAACCAAAAACACATCCAGAACACCGTTGACCTCCAGACCAGGGGACGGGTAGTTTTAGGACTTAAAGCTTTCTCATTTGTCAGGATTGAACCTGAAGTGTTTTGTTGCAGGTGCACATGAAGGAGCACCAGAGGACCCACAGCGGGGAGAGACCCTACACATGCAGCACCTGCAGCAAGAGCTTCACCTTCTCCAGCGCGATGCGCCGCCATGAGCGGCAGCACTCGGGGGTTCGATTCCAGTGTAAGTTCTGCAGCAAGAGCTTCAGCCGCACCCCGGACCTCACCTACCACATGAAGATGCACTCCGAAGCCTCTTCTGCCAGATCTGCGAGAAGGACCTGAGCGGAGCGCGCTTCTTCCACAAATACGAGGCGACAAACTAGCCTCGATAAGGAGCGACGGACAAAGACGATAATGTGACAGTGACATTACATCCAGAATATATTCACATCTGAGCTGCACTCATTGATTCTTCAAGAGCCTCCATCTCTAACTGCAACAAAAGAAATTCAGCTTGATGTCCAAAGTATTCTGGGGCTAACTCTGCACCGTGTCCGCACGTTTGATCATAACTCAATCTGAAGATGAATAAAGACGAGGGGACAAACTCGCCAGTGTAAGTAGCGGCAGACAGAAAGTATAATGCAGATGTTGCAGCTGTGATATTTAATCCATCCAGAGCAGAACTGTTGGCAAATCAGAACGTAGAGCAGCTTAAACATCTGACATGTGATCATTAATCATTCAGGGGATTAAATCAAGCGTCTCCTCGTCAAACGACACACGACATACCATCGGACCAAAGTTCAATTTCATTCTCGAAGTATCCTGGAGCGCGCATCTTCCGCTAACACGTGAAGAAGCACGAGTCGACCAACTCCCCGTGAGAAGGAGCTACGCTGTGAAATCAGAAGATGCTCAAACGCTTTAGAAAACATTTGTTTAATTGATCTGATGATGCAATGCGCTATGATTCACAATATTAGAGGGAAACATTATTTCATTTATCATTAAACAATGTATAAAGATGATCATGGTGGTTCATTTGTTATTTATCATAAGGATCTGCACCAAATAAAGATTTCTTACGAAGTCTAGAGAATATTATCTCCAGCTCTGATTTCATTACAGAAGAATCCTCAACGACTTCAATAAAGTGACTGAAACACTCAACTCTGTCATCGAGTGTTTTAAAAACCTGGAAACTAACACAGGGATTTTAGCCTCTGCAGACCATTTACTTGCACTAGCACCTATATACAATCCTTAATATAAATACACTATCATAAACATCATTTATTAATTACACAACTAAAATACTCATTTATTATAGTTTCAGATGAGCTTCACGTTAACCAACACCAATCATCTGCTTCAAAACGAATGCATGAGTAATGATCTCATATCTTTTTTATTACAATCTGAGTCTGGGTTTAAAATATAAACTGATTGTTAACAACTGTACAGATCTCAATTCTGGCTAATAGTCCAGCTTAGTGAACCTGGAAATGTTGAATATCCCAAAGTGTTATGATAGAAATGTAGAGTAGGGTCTCCAGCTCATAGAAGCTGCCGGATGCTAACCTGCATGTGTTGGGCAATTTGCACAATGAGCACATGTTGCATTAAATATAATTATAGCCTATGGGGACAATAGTTTAAAAATGGCCTGACTGATTTGGACCATTTCGGAGTGAGTTTAGGGAATGCTGAGTTCATTTCTGACATTTTTAGGATAAAAAATTGCAGTTTTAAACAGAAATTGTCTATATGTGTACTCTCTTTGGACTGATTTTGATAGATTGTGAAGGTTTAGGGGACTCTGGATCCTTTGGATTGGACAGATTTACCTATTTATTTGAAAAATAATTGTCCTTAGTAGATATAATAATGATCATCTTGTGCTCTCTATATCCAATGGTCGCAACACTACTCATGTTAGTCAAAATCAGCCCACAGAGTACAGTTATGTCCACTTTCTGGTTTAAACATCTTTTTATCCTGAAAATGTCAGAAATGGATTCAGCGTCCTCAATAACCCCCAAAACCACTCATCAACTGTCCAAATCAGCCAAGACATTTTACACTATTGTTTACATGGTTATAATGCAATTCATTTTAATTATGCAATTTATGCTAAATGTGCAAATTGCCCAAAATCTGCAGGTTAGCATCCGGCAGTTTCTATGTGCTGGAGACCCAGGCACGTGCACACATAGACATCATTGTGGGCTTGAGCCCCTGCCCTTTTTCTTCCTCCAGAGAAAGTGCCCTTTTTTTCTTTTTAAATAAATGAATATATATCTACTGCTGTTTGCGCACAGTTTCCCTTTCCAAAAATATATTGATTGAATACAAAAATAAAAATATCAGGTCGGGAGATTAGACTGAAGTTCCATAGCTCTCTCTACCCTCCCTCCACGTCTCGCGCACAGCTGTGCGGACATCGGCAGTCCCTTCAGACAGACAGGTAGCAGCACCTCCCACTTTACTGTCCCTTCAGACAGACAGGTAGCAGCACCTCCCACTTTACTGTCCCTTCAGACAGACAGGTAGCAGCACCTCCCACCTTACTGTCCCTTCAGACAGACAGGTAGCAGCACCTCCCACTTTACTGTCCCTTCAGACAGACAGGTAGCAGCACCTCCCACCTTACTGTCCCTTCAGACAGACAGGTAGCAGCACCTCCCACTTTACAGTCACTTCAGACAGACAGGTAGCAACACCTCCCACCTTACTGTCCCTTCAGACAGACAGGTAGCAGCACCTCCCACTTTACAGTCACTTCAGACAGACAGGTAGCAACACCTCCCACTTTACTGTCCCTTCAGACAGACAGGTAGCAACACCTCCCACTTTACAGTCCCTTCAGACAGACAGGTAGCAGCACCTCCCACTTTACAGTCACTTCAGACAGACAGGTAGCAGCACCTCCCACTTTACTGTCCCTTCAGACAGACAGGTAGCAGCACCTCCCACCTTACTGTCCCTTCAGACAGACAGGTAGCAGCACCTCCCACCTTACTGTCCCTTCAGACAGACAGGTAGCAGCACCTCCCACCTTACAGTCACTTCAGACAGACAGGTAGCAGCACCTCCCACCTTACAGTCACTTCAGACAGACAGGTAGCAGCACCTCCCACTTTACTGTCCCTTCAGACAGACAGGTAGCAGCACCTCCCACTTTACTGTCCCTTCAGACAGACAGGTAGCAGCACCTCCCACTTTACAGTCACTTCAGACAGACAGGTAGCAGCACCTCCCACCTTACAGTCACTTCAGACAGACAGGTAGCAGCACCTCCCACCTTACAGTCACTTCAGACAGACAGGTAGCAGCACCTCCCACTTTACTGTCCCTTCAGACAGACAGGTAGCAGCACCTCCCACCTTACAGTCACTTCAGACAGACAGGTAGCAGCACCTCCCACCTTACTGTCCCTTCAGACAGACAGGTAGCAGCACCTCCCACCTTACTGTCCCTTCAGACAGACAGGTAGCAGCACCTCCCACCTTACAGTCACTTCAGACAGACAGGTAGCAGCACCTCCCACCTTACTGTCCCTTCAGACAGACAGGTAGCAGCACCTCCCACTTTTCACACCAACGGTGTTTCAGGGCCGGTTCGGAGCTGGAGCTTGAAAAGCACCGGGTTTTCCTGTTCACACCGCATGTGGGACAGTCTGGGACACTCTCTAATGTGGGACAGTCTGGGACACTCTCTAATGTGGGACAGTCTGGGACACTCTCTAATGTGGGACACTTAAAGGTGGGGTAGGTCATTTTGGAGAAACCAGCTCGAGTGCGCTAGCATTTGAAAATACACAGCCGGAAGAAATCTGCCACTTCCTCACAGAGCCCCTCCTCCAACACACACGAACGCGCACATGACCAATGAGGGCACGAGATAAGTTTGTGCACAGATGGAAGGCTGACAGGCAGGTAGGCCATCCAGTTATTTTAGCCGGGCCGGCTCAGATGATTGGTCGTGCTTTTTACAGTACTACAGCTTCCACAGATTACATTTCTTTATGGATTTTTTGTCAAAGCACTTCAGATATTCATTGCTATCGGGATGTTAAGAGCATTCCATGGAATATAACAAAAAGTGTATCTCGAGCCGGTTTCTCAAACTTACCTACCCCACCTTTAAGCTCCAGACGGTGTAGGTCTTCCTCAAACAAATGAGAGTCAATTAATTCCACAATGGTGAGTATTTGTAGTGTTTTTGTTCTTCTAGAATAAAAGTAAGATAGCCTATACATGCCTCCCTCTTAACTTCAACTGTAAAGATTTGTATACAGTCCACTGCCACACTTTCTAACTTGTCTAATTAGAGCCCAGGTGTTCATTTCCACATGAAAAGCATGTTGAGTAAAAATGGTTTAGTTGATTTTATGGCTTGTGAAATGCAGCGCTGCCAGTTTAATATTGTGAATGTTATTATTGCTGATTTTTGCTAAACAAACTTTTGTTAAGCATAATGTCAGTTTCCCCTCACCCACACATGCTCATCAATCACTTTGGGTCACATTACAAAGGAAAGAGCGCCCCTGAAATACAGCTTGTGGCCAGAAATATATGACATCCTTAGTGATAAGAACTACCATAGAGAATGAATGGTAAAAGTTAAGGGACTTAAGCCTTACTATTGCCGTGCAAGATCCTTAGGGAAGAAATATATAGACACATTGATTTTAAGCATCAGTTTCATCCTCAATGCAGGGCCTGACACGTTGGAAGTGTCTTTAAAAGTCAGTTTTAGGACTGAAAGGGTGTGATTTTTTTTTAAAGGTGGGCCTTTTGTGTGTCATTGTATATTTCAAAGAAGTGGTGAAAAACTCGCTCCAACGGGGAATCGAACCCGGCTCTCCGGTTTGACAGGCGGCGAAATCCCTTTCATCAGTTTCCGTAGTGTAGTGGTTATCACGTTCGCCTAACACGCGCGGGTAAGCCGTGTATACCCATAGAAGACTTTCTATTGGCCAGAAGCCTTTTCAAAAGAACGACGGTTCGAATCCCACCTGACCCAAACAAAATCCCCACATTCAGTTTCAAAATGTTGCTCATTATACACAAACACTACATTTATCTTTTCAATCGTTTAAAGTTAAAGTTGAAACTGATATTTGGAGTTAGAAATTAATTGTTCTTTCCTTGCTGCTTCTATAATAGTTATTTTAACCTTAATATATAGCAATCATAACAATAATACCACAAATAATGATATCTTAATATTAGTAATAATAATGTTTTATATATTTATTTTGTATTTTTACTTATAATTAATATTTTTTAAATATGTTTATTGTACAGATGTTTACATTGAGCATATGAGTGTGCTTCATTCTTCTTTCTATCACTATTACTTCCTCTATCAAGTAAAGACAGTCACAGTGATGCATTCAAGATCATTTATTCAAAAACAGCTGAAACATCAAATATAGGAAATAATACAAATAGAACTACAAATATATAAAAAACACTGAAAACACAATACAGAGAGAACAATCAGATCCTGAAAAAAGGATTGAACTATATTATATTCTTTGTATTTTTGGACTAAATGATATGTTGTATTGCACCTTAATATTTATTATAATATTATAATTTAGCAGAAGATAGTGTATTGTTATTATAGATGTATTTGATCTCACCACCATCCATTATCTGAAATGTTTTTCACCTCATGTTCTTGTATGGTTTCTATTCTGCATTCTATTCTCATTTTAGTGATTTATACCCTCTTACTTGCTCTTTTTTTTAAATGTATTCTAGTGCAATAATTATATTTATTCTAGTATAGTATATAATATTCTAGTGCAGGCCCCAGCACCGACAAGATTGGAGTGGAGGGCCTATAGAAATCCCTGAAATGATTATTATTCTTTATTATGAATAGAGTTTTTTGAGGGCATTAACCAAAACTGTTTTGTTATCGGCAGGATTGTCAGGACTGGTGAAAAGGCTGATAGTTTAGGGGTCTCGCTTTTCTTGCAGGCAAAACGTCTTAGTTTGTATGTTAAGTTAGTATGCAACATAGTAGACCCAGGAAGTGGCGTGCCTGTGTGTATGTGAGGGTAGGTTAGGGCTTCCTTTTGTCTGCAATCCATCTGTCCCTTTCAGCATCATAGAAGTCCGACTGCTGGAACTCCGGCCACGTCATCTCCTTCTCCATGCCCTGTGCATTATATAAGGAGAAGACTGGAGGGGCAGTAGATATACTTCCCTGGGCAAGTCAGAGCTGTAAGACACAGCAAAACACCAGTTACATCAGATACAATTGATTAAAGCTCTATATAAATGACTGCTATAATACAGTGTCACAGATATCCATACCTTCATCGAGGACAGTGTCTCCCTGCGCTTCCACAGGGGCCATATTATGTGGTGATGAATCTGGGATGATGAGATACAAACAGGCAAGTGATGTATACACATTATACATCGAAATTAAGAAGCAGCATTTAAGAAGTTGTGAAAAATGAAAACAGAGACGATGATATCATTACTTAACTTTACCTAAATGGCGAGCAGCTGAGGAGGGACCGGCAGCGGGGCCTTCACTGTGGCTGAAGGATGAAAGGCAAACATGAGGGTATATATACATAATATGTATGAAAAAGATTCATGATGGATCCAAGTGAGGAGTATAAAAACCCAATAACCTTTCAGAGGAGCAGGTCCATCGGGTCTGGACACAGTGGCAGTTGGATAAGTCCTGTGGGCTGTAGAAACAATCCTGTGTCATGTTCCTCAAGTGTTAAGTTGTTTCAAGCTTCACAATCTGTCTTTACCTGTTGTCTCTTTAACAGAATGAAAATACCCCGTTGTATTCACTTGTGAATCCCAATGATTTGAAATAGAAAAACATAATGTCTCTATGTGTTTGGAAACAGGTAAAGCAGAGAAACAGTATACATATATAGCAAGCACATCTTTCATTCAAAGGTGTGGCATGATATCTTAGAGGGTAAGAAGCTAGGTTCCCTAAGCCAATATTTAAAATGCCAAATCCTTGTATGACAGTCTAAAAAAAGCATGCAAAAAAGGAAAAACACTTACCATCATTGCTGACATGTTAATTCCTTCAGTTAGTTGGAGAACAGAATAACACAAGCATCAGAACAGACCGGAACACGGCCAAGTTATCCCTCCACACTGCTGGAGAGAAACCTGTTGGTGTAGACACAGCCGGGGCTCTGGAGACTGCTGCTGGTGGCCCTATAAAGCACAGGTGATGGAGTACAGTTTCCCCTTATACTTTCCAAACTGTAGCACGTACTCCCCCATCACCTCGAGTCGGTCGGATACATCCCCTCCCCTCTGAAGGACCTCAGTGAGAGCATTTGTCCTCACATGCTCATGCTTCTGAGCAGCAGACTTGTCCTGAAGGGAAGGATGTTTTTGTATTCTCATACCCTCCTCTGAAGGGTCCTGTCTCAGGTGGCCAGATGGACCCTTCCTGAAAGACACTCTCATCTTTCCTGGGAAGAATATGGTTTTCTTCATTATCTCCTGCACACAGAAACACACAATGCAAAGTATATATATTAAGAAGTGCAAAAATCATCATACTGTTATATTAGCAGAGTTATTCATTTCATTCATTCAAGTTAATCAGGATTTGTATAGGTAACACATTTTATATTACATGATCAGACAGGCAGACAAACAAACAAACAGAGGGGCAGGTGGGCAGGAAGATGTGTTATGTATTGCCCTGTCAATGTGAGTGAACTCACTTTATTTCATGTTTACATTCATTGGGATTTGTAATGACTAGGTAACAACTTCTCTATTACATGAACAGACAGACTGAAAAGCAGATGGGTAAAATAATAACAAAAGTATAATAGAAGATAGCAAAAAAAGAGTTTTAAGACTGAATACTGTAGTATTTACCCGATTAAAATGTACTGTAGTAAGTAGAACTGCAGCAATGAAAAGAGTCAAATAATGCAGTTTTTTGGATCAGGATACACCTGTAAAACACATTTGACAGCTCTTTTGCCATGTGTAATGAGTAATAAATCAGCTGCTGTTAACGCTGACATTTACTGTAAATACATGACGTTAGTGTAACGTTAGCTAACAAAAGTTACAGTACCTTAGTAAAGACAAACAAACAAACAACTAACAACTATTGCAAAAACAGTGTAACAATATGATAAGTGTTAATTCAGTCATAGAAAAATAAGCCCCACTTACGTTTGATAAGTTTGACGTGATGTTAGAAGTCGAATTGTGTCGCTAATGTCGTCTCTCTATCTGTAAGATGCTGCTGCTGCTGCTCCGTTTCTCACTCTCTGTCACTGGAAACTGGGTCTCCTTACTTCTACCAAAAGGGCGCAACAGCGCCCCCAATTTCTCGCTTGTGGCCAGAAATATATTGCAGTCACAGTGTAAGAACTACCATAGAGAATGAATGGTAAAGTTAAGAGAGTTAGACCTTACTATACGCGCGCGCGCGCGAAGGGTCCCCGGTTCGAGACCGGGCGGAAACACATTATGTCTTGATTGACTCCACATATAGATATCAGCAAAATAGATGAGAAAGGGAGGGCTGTTTGAACAATGCCAATATGCCGAGAAAAATGAAATGATTCCTTCGTTGTCCGCTTCTTTCAGACCACGAAGGTGCTGGCCTAACGCTATGGATTTTGGAAAGAGAGGAGAATTGTGAAGACAAATCTAAATTCAACACATCTGGAGAGGCATGGTCCTGTAACTTGTATTTCTGATGACATTAAACTATGGGTTAACACAAGCTGTTATGTCATTTAATCAAAATCACATGACTTCTCAAATGTCCAATCACAGATGACGAGTGTGGTGGAGCAACCTTCAAACAAGTGTCCCACATTAGGGCAACTCACCCTAGCGCTTTTCTAAGTACTCAAAGTTGCTTTACAAAAATACAATTCACACCACAAACAAAGATACTATGAAGTAAATTAGAAACCTCACAAAGGAAACAAGAAATACAGAAAAGACAGCGTTGTGAAATGACTCTTGTATAATAAAGTTTTGGGAAGAAAAAAAACCCACAACCATGCCTTCACGACAGCATGTGATTTTACGACACTCATCCTTCCATACGGCAGGGTGAAGTGTTTCAGTAAACATGGGTAAAGTTTAGCGGACAAACAACAACAACCAGGTGATATTATCAACGTATAACTCATACATTCAATGTGATCTTATATCAGAGAACAGACCGTTTATCTCTGGTGTTCTTGCAGTCTGCACATTTCCGTGAAACTGAGTCTGTTAGCATGTAGCTTAGCGGCATCAGCTAACAAAGCTAATAACACGTTTGCTGTTTGCTGTTTGTTCTTCATTACAACTCGTGTCAGAATACGATACTTTATTAGAGTAACGCGTGCAGAGCTTCAACACTAACGCCTGTAATCAGTGGTGTAAAGTAACTAAGTACATTTACTCAAGTACTGTACTTAATTATTCTGGGATACTTGTACTTTACTTTAGTATTTCCATGTTATGCTACTCGGTACTTCTACTAACTCCACTACATGTATTTAATACCTTTAGTAACTTTACAGATGTGGATGAATGATGTGAAATCAAATCAAGTGTTAAATCAGACTTTAGTTCCACCTGGAGTAAATCCACAAGCTACCCTGCAGTATACAAAGTCATTCAAACTAGCTGCACCTTTACCAGCTTTGAGAACACTTTCATGATCAATCATTATAAAACATATCATATATATTATTCTGAAATGGACCAATCTGCACAATGACTACTTTTACTGTCGCTACTTTCACTATATTTTGATGATAATACTTTTCTACTTTCACTTGAGGAACATTTTGAATGCAGTACTTTCACTGTAACAGAGTATTCCTACACTCTGGTACTTCTACTTTTACTCAAGCACAAGATCTGAGTACTTCTACTTTTACTCAAGCACAAGATCTGAGTACTTCTACTTTTACTCAAGCACAAGATCTGAGTACTTCTACTTTTACTCAAGCACAAGATCTGAGTACTTCTACTTTTACTCAAGCACAAGATCTGAGTACTTCTACTTTTACTCAAGCACAAGATCTGAGTACTTCTACTTTTACTCAAGAACAAGATCTGAGTACTTCTACTTTTACTCAAGTACAAGATCTGAGTACTTCTACTTTTACTCAAGTACACGATCTGAGTACTTCTACTTTTACTCAAGTACAAGATCTGAGTACTTCTACTTTACTCAAGCACAAGATCTGAGTACTTCTACTTTTACTCAAGTACAATATCTGAGTACTTCTACTTTCACTCAAGCACAAGATCTGAGTACTTCTACTTTTACTCAAGTACAAGATCTGAGTACTTCTACTTTTACTCAAGTACAAGATCTGAGTACTTCTACTTTTACTCAAGAACAAGATCTGAGTACTTCTACTTTTACTAAAGCACAAGATCTGAGTACTTCTACTTTTACTAAAGCACAAGATCTGAGTACTTCTACTTTTACTCAAGTACAAGATCTGAGTACTTCTACTTTTACTAAAGCACAAGATCTGAGTACTTCTACTTTTACTAAAGCACAAGATCTGAGTACTTCTACTTTTACTCAAGTACAAGATCTGAGTACTTCTACTTTTACTAAAGCACAAGATCTGAGTACTTCTACTTTTACTAAAGCACAAGATCTGAGTACTTCTACTTTTACTAAAGCACAAGATCTGAGTACTTCTACTTTTACTCAAGTACAATATCTGAGTACTTCTACTTTTACTCAAGTACAAGATCTGAGTACTTCTACTTTTACTCAAGTACAAGATCTGAGTACTTCTACTTTTACTCAAGAACAAGATCTGAGTACTTCTACTTTTACTAAAGCACAAGATCTGAGTACTTCTACTTTTACTAAAGCACAAGATCTGAGTACTTCTACTTTTACTAAAGTACAAGATGTGAGTACTTCTACTTTTACTCAAGCACAAGATCTGAGTACTTCTACTTTTACTCAAGCACAAGATCTGAGTACTTCTACTTTTACTCAAGAACAAGATCTGAGTACTTCTACTTTTACTCAAGTACAAGATCTGAGTACTTCTACTTTTACTCAAGTACACGATCTGAGTACTTCTACTTTTACTCAAGTACAAGATCTGAGTACTTCTACTTTACTCAAGCACAAGATCTGAGTACTTCTACTTTACTCAAGTACAATATCTGAGTACTTCTACTTTCACTCAAGCACAAGATCTGAGTACTTCTACTTTTACTCAAGTACAAGATCTGAGTACTTCTACTTTTACTCAAGTACAAGATCTGAGTACTTCTACTTTTACTCAAGAACAAGATCTGAGTACTTCTACTTTTACTAAAGCACAAGATCTGAGTACTTCTACTTTTACTAAAGCACAAGATCTGAGTACTTCTACTTTTACTCAAGTACAAGATCTGAGTACTTCTACTTTTACTAAAGCACAAGATCTGAGTACTTCTACTTTTACTAAAGCACAAGATCTGAGTACTTCTACTTTTACTCAAGTACAAGATCTGAGTACTTCTACTTTTACTAAAGCACAAGATCTGAGTACTTCTACTTTTACTAAAGCACAAGATCTGAGTACTTCTACTTTTACTAAAGCACAAGATCTGAGTACGTCTACTTTTACTAAAGCACAAGATCTGAGTACTTCTACTTTTACTCAAGTACAAGATCTGAGTACTTCTACTTTTACTCAAGTACAAGATCTGAGTACTTCTACTTTTACTCAAGTACAAGATCTGAGTACTTCTACTTTTACTCAAGAACAAGATCTGAGTACTTCTACTTTTACTAAAGCACAAGATCTGAGTACTTCTACTTTTACTAAAGCACAAGATCTGAGTACTTCTACTTTTACTCAAGTACAAGATCTGAGTACTTCTACTTTTACTCAAGAACAAGATCTGAGTACTTCTACTTTTACTAAAGCACAAGATCTGAGTACTTCTACTTTTACTAAAGCACAAGATCTGAGTACTTCTACTTTTACTAAAGTACAAGATGTGAGTACTTCTACTTTTACTAAAGTACAAGATCTGAGTACTTCTACTTTTACTAAAGTACAAGATGTGAGTACTCTGAATTAGATAATTAACCAAAGACCACAAAAAGTGACCACATCAAGTTATAGAAGAAGCTAGTACTGTTAACAGATTGTAAATGATTTCACAGAAAAAGCGTAAATTGTACAACGTTTAATATTTACTACTTCATTTCAAAGCAGACTCCCAGTATGTAAGGGGAGCAGCTCTCTGTCTCTTATTTAGTTGAGTCTAATAATGCCTGTGTTTCTGCAGATGGAGAACTACGCTAAAGCTCGGACGCTGGAGCATCCGTCCGTCTGTCCGTTCCTCGATCTGCCCCCCGACACGCCGGAGGTCCGAGTCAAAGACGGCAGCAAGATCCGAAACCTGCTGCGCTTCTGCCAGAGCCGCATGGAGGCCAGACCCCGAGCGGCGGAGAAGGAGAAGCGACCCGGACCTGAGGAAGGAGGAGAGGAAGCTCCGGGACGTCAGGAAGGACGACAGGAAGCTCAAGGACGTAAAGAAGTACAACAGGAAGCTTCGGGACGACAGGAAGCTTCGGGACAGCCGCTCTGCACTCACATCGTGTTCACGGCGAGTGGAAAGGGCGTGTCCAAAGCCATCTCATGCGCAGAGATCCTGAAGCGGCGCGTGGGCCGGCTGCACCAGCTGACCCGGCTGCAGTTCGGCTCGCTGGAGGAGGTCTGGGAGCCTCTGGAGCCCGCAGCCGGCCTGGAGCCCCTCACCGTCAGCAGGAAGCAGCCCAGCCTCTGGATCCTGCTCTCCAGGGAGCCGCTGGACCACAGCCTGCCCGGGTACCAGGCGCCCGGACGCTACGACGCCCTGTGGGCTCCTGAGGGCCAGGGGGGGGACGGACAGAAGCAGGGACACAAGAGGAAGAAGGGAGAGAGAGGAGGAGAGAGAGGAGGAGGGGTAAGAGGAGGAGGAGGAGGAAGAGGAGGAGGAGAGAGAGGAGGAGGAGGGAGGGGCCGTCAGACTGGACGCTCGTAGAGGAATCTGAAGGATCGAGTTCATCTTTAACAGACTGGTGGACAGAAAATGATAAATATGGAGTTCGTTTCCAAAGCCTATCAGTGTTGATTTGTGTTCCATATATATATATAGTCTATTTTGAAAAATCAATACTGAGGTGGCCGACGGGTGCAAACGTGCAGATTATTATATTCACTTCCAGCCTCTCTTTGCTGCTTCCTCCGCTTTCTATCATAATAAGTGAAGATCTTTGGACTCTGAGACACTTTGGACTCTGAGACACTCTGGACTCTGAGACACTCTGGACTCTGAGACACTCTGGACTCTGAGACACTCTGGACTCTGAGACACTCTGGACTCTGAGACACTTTGGACTCTGAGACACTCTGGACTCTGAGACACTTTGGACTCTGAGACACTCTGGACTCTGAGACACTTTGGACTCTGAGACACTTTGGACTCTGAGACATTCTGGACTCTGAGACACTCTGGACTCTCAGACACTTTGGACTCTGAGACACTCTGAGACACTCTGGACTCTGAGACACTTTGGACTCTGAGACACTCTGGACTCTGAGACACTTTGGACTCTGAGACACTCTGGACTCTGAGACACTCTGAGACACTCTGGACTCTGAGACACTTTGGACTCTGAGACACTCTGGACTCTGAGACACTTTGGACTCTGAGACACTTTGGACTCTGAGACACTCTGGACTCTGAGACACTTTGGACTCTGAGACACTTTGGACTCTGAGACACTCTGGACTCTGAGACACTCTGGACTCTGAGACACTCTGGACTCTGAGACACTTTGGACTCTGAGACACTTTGGACTCTGAGACACTTTGGACTCTGAGACACTTTGGACTCTGAGACACTTTGGACTCTGAGACACTTTGGACTCTGAGACACTCTTGGACTCTGAGACACTTCTGGACTCTGAGACACTTCTGGACTCTGAGACACTCTGGACTCTGAGACACTCTTGGACTCTGAGACACTTTGGACTCTGAGACACTTTGGACTCTGAGACACTTTGGACTCTGAGACACTTTGGACTCTGAGACACTTTGGACTCTGAGACACTTTGGACTCTGAGACACTCTGGACTCTGAGACACTCTTGGACTCTGAGACACTTGGACTCTGAGACACTTGGACTCTGAGACACTTTGGACTCTGAGACACTCTGGACTCTGAGACACTCTGGACTCTGAGACACTCTGGACTCTGAGACACTTGGACTCTGAGACACTCTGGACTCTGAGACACTCTGGACCTTGAGACACTTTGGGACTCTGAGACACTCTTGGACTCTGAGACACTTGGACTCTGAGACACTTTGGACTCTGAGACACTTTGGACTCTGAGACACTTTGGACTCTGAGACACTCTGAGACACTCTGGACTCTGAGACACTCTGGACTCTGAGACACTCTGGACTCTGAGACACTTTGGACTCTGAGACACTTTGGACTCTGAGACACTCTGGACTCTGAGACACTTTGGACTCTGAGACACTCTGGACTCTGAGACACTTTGGACTCTGAGACACTTTGGACTCTGAGACACTCTGGACTCTGAGACACTTTGGACTCTGAGACACTCTGGACTCTGAGACACTCTGGACTCTGAGACACTTTGGACTCTGAGACACTTTGGACTCTGAGACACTCTGGACTCTGAGACACTTTGGACTCTGAGACACTTTGGACTCTGAAACACGACATGGATACGGTTCAAGATCTTCTGACATTTGATCATTTATTATGAACAGTATCTTTTAGTTTATCGTTAAAAAAGTCTCAAGACAACTTTTTAGGTTTGGGAATTAAATCAAATTTCATCAGGTTTTTATTTTTGTATTTTATTTGTATTCCTGTGTTTAAATTCTCTCGTTCGAAACACACTAATTATTATTTTGTTGTATGTGTTTTTGAAATGAGTAAAAAAAAAGATAAAATAAGTTTTGTTTTATTCTAAAGTTCTGTTCCTAGTGTTGTTTTTTTACAGTGTATATCAGTATGTAGTGTCTCTACTTTAAAGAGTCCTCTCCTGCTGATGTTCAGGTGTATATCAGTATGTAGTGTCTCTACTTTAAAGAGTCCTCTCCTGCTGATGTTCAGGTGTATATCAGTATGTAGTGTCTCTACTTTAAAGAGTCCTCTCCTGCTGATGTTCAGGTGTATATCAGTATGTAGTGTCTCTACTTTAAAGAGTCCTCTCCTGCTGATGTTCAGGTGTATATCAGTATGTAGTGTCTCTACTTTAAAGAGTCCTCTCCTGCTGATGTTCAGGTGTATATCAGTATGTAGTGTCTCTACTTTAAAGAGTCCTCTCCTGCTGATGTTCAGGTGTATATCAGTATGTAGTGTCTCTACTTTAAAGAGTCCTCTCCTGCTGATGTTCAGGTGTATATCAGTATGTAGTGTCTCTACTTTAAAGAGTCCTCTCCTGCTGATGTTCAGGTGTATATCAGTATGTAGTATCTCTACTTTAAAGAGTCCTCTCCTGCTGATGTTCAGGTGTATATCAGTATGTAGTGTCTCTACTTTAAAGAGTCCTCTCCTGCTGATGTTCAGGTGTATATCAGTATGTAGAGTCTCTACTTTAAAGAGTCCTCTCCTGCTGATGTTCAGGTGTATATCAGTATGTAGTATCTCTACTTTAAAGAGTCCTCTCCTGCTGATGTTCAGGTGTATATCAGTATGTAGTGTCTCTACTTTAAAGAGTCCTCTCCTGCTGATGTTCAGGTGTATATCAGTATGTAGTGTCTCTACTTTAAAGAGTCCTCTCCTGCTGATGTTCAGGTGTATATCAGTATGTAGTATCTCTACTTTAAAGAGTCCTCTCCTGCTGATGTTCAGGTGTATATCAGTATGTAGTGTCTCTACTTTAAAGAGTTCTCTCCTGCTGATGTTCAGGTGTATATCAGTATGTAGTGTCTCTACTTTAAAGAGTCCTCTCCTGCTGATGTTCAGGTGTATATCAGTATGTAGTGTCTCTACTTTAAAGAGTCCTCTCCTGCTGATGTTCAGGTGTATATCAGTATGTAGTGTCTCTACTTTAAAGAGTCCTCTCCTGCTGCTGTTCAGGTGTATATCAGTATGTAGTGTCTCTACTTTAAAGAGTCCTCTCCTGCTGATGTTCAGGTGTATATCAGTATGTAGTGTCTCTACTTTAAAGAGTCCTCTCCTGCTGATGTTCAGGTGTATATCAGTATGTAGTGTCTCTACTTTAAAGAGTCCTCTCCTGCTGATGTTCAGGTGTATATCAGTATGTAGTGTCTCTACTTTAAAGAGTCCTCTCCTGCTGCTGTTCAGGTGTATATCAGTATGTAGTGTCTCTACTTTAAAGAGTCCTCTCCTGCTGATGTTCAGGTGTATATCAGTATGTAGTGTCTCTACTTTAAAGAGTCCTCTCCTGCTGATGTTCAGGTGTATATCAGTATGTAGTGTCTCTACTTTAAAGAGTCCTCTCCTGCTGATGTTCAGGTGTATATCAGTATGTAGTGTCTCTACTTTAAAGAGTCCTCTCCTGCTGATGTTCAGGTGTATATCAGTATGTAGTGTCTCTACTTTAAAGAGTCCTCTCCTGCTGATGTTCAGGTGTATATCAGTATGTAGTGTCTCTACTTTAAAGAGTCCTCTCCTGCTGATGTTCAGGTGTATATCAGTATGTAGTGTCTCTACTTTAAAGAGTCCTCTCCTGCTGATGTTCAGGTGTATATCAGTATGTAGTGTCTCTACTTTAAAGAGTCCTCTCCTGCTGATGTTCAGGTGTATATCAGTATGTAGTGTCTCTACTTTAAAGAGTCCTCTCCTGCTGATGTTCAGGTGTATATCAGTATGTAGTGTCTCTACTTTAAAGAGTCCTCTCCTGCTGATGTTCAGGTGTATATCAGTATGTAGTGTCTCTACTTTAAAGAGTCCTCTCCTGCTGATGTTCAGGTGTATATCAGTATGTAGTGTCTCTACTTTAAAGAGTCCTCTCCTGCTGATGTTCAGGTGTATATCAGTATGTAGTGTCTCTCTGTAAGGGTTTCCTTTTTAGTTTTTTAATAAAATAATACAATTACATGAAGTTTATTGATTTATTATTACATTGGAAGAAGCAGTGCAGACTGTAGGGGACCTGGGACGTTTATAGGACAAAGATTGATTTGATTCATGAGCTGAGAAAGATGTTTTACGTCAACGTTGGAGCAGGGAGATGCTGCCTTCAGGGACCAACACAGAAATACGATATTCCTGCACCACTCACTGTTAGCACTAAAATATCCAATGCCGCTTCTCAAGTTAAATTTCAAGAAGATTAAATGTTAACAGAAAAGTTCACTTTGTACGTTTCTTTTATGCCGTCTACGTGTATGCAATACCAAGAGTAGACCAGCAGATGTCCCCATTCAGACTCAATGCAATCATTCAAGATTCAAGGGTTATATTATCATGTGCACAGCAGCTACAGTGTAGTAGCCCCACCTAGTGTCAGCAGAAAGTATTACACATAATGATTACAAAAAATGCAAAGAGATGCAAAAAAAGAAATACAAAAATATATAAAATATATTTTAAGGTCATGTTTAATCATCTGATTCGTCTGTGCATTGCTGTTTTAGTCTGTGTTCTTCTAATTAGTGTCTACAGTGCCGTTTTGAGCCATGTGGGACAAAACCTGATCATGCCCCACCCTCTCACTGTCAAAGTGAACGGTGACTGTAAAAACTACACTGCGCATGCTCAGAGTATTTTGTAATGTAATGTGTGTGGCAAAAAAAAAAAAGACCATAGGGGCACGGAGCTGCCATCCCCACCATACGTCATCTCAAATCATTCAGAGCCGATTGGCTGTAAGTACGTGTGCCGCGAAAAGTGTGGTGTGTGAAGAGGAGACGAGAGAGCTGCAGTGACGCGTCCTAAAACCAGGAAGTAAGCTGCGCATGGCTTCCCTCGACAAAAAAGCAATGAGGTTTCTCCAGAGGATTTTAGAAAATAGCTGGAAATAAGATCTGTGGGAAACGTACCTGTTAGATAAATGCACGTTTTGATTAGCCGGATAACATCCACATGTCTACCCTACTTATATAATTTTTGAATCATAAATCTATCGATTAGATTTATGATAGACTTTTGAAACTACAAGAAGATAAGGAGGACTTTTACAAAAAAGTAATAGAAATGTTTGTCCAGAAGGATAGGCAAATGGACTTCATCTTCAAGTCAAGGTAAGACCGCCATTTTATTGAAAATGGGATCTTACTAAGAGAGAACAATTCAATATTTAAATGATAAAATTACATTTTTTGGGTATCCTTTTGTTGAACTGTCTGTTTAAAATTAATCGAAGCATCAGACAAAAAAAAGCTTTTGAAAATAATATTATATTTTGGTTTAGGTCAAAATATAATATTTGTAAACCTGAAGAGTCAGTGCCAGTGCCTCACCAGCCATGAACCTCACTGCACGTCACTGCAGAAGCTTATATATAGACATCTAAGTTGTTTGTGCCCCACCACTTTTGTACATATAAAAACGCCACTGCAAATCTGACCCAGAAGTCAGCACCAACTGGTAAAATAATAACAAGCCCTGGTAGCTGCTCTCAGGAGGGAGTCCAGGAGAAAGGGGAGAAGGAAAGTAGCCTTCGCTCAGAATCTGTGTTCTTCAACTGTCACACACACTCCTCAAGGTTTTGCTTCAGCTTAAGCTCGAGCTCTTCATAAAGATACGGGTCCAGCTCACGGAGAGCATTGATCAGAACCCTGCTGGCTGCAGCTCCTTTATTTTGCACCGCGTCCACCACCTCTCGGGCTCCGTCATCTTTGGGTTTGTTTCTGGCTGAATCCATTTCAGATTTTATGATCACTTTAGACTGAAAGAGTTTATCCAGAAGGACATTCAGCACAGGTGGAGTCACTCGTTGAACGAACTCTGCCCGAACTGAGAACAGCCACTGGTCTGCTGGGACTCTGCTCTCTGCTGGGACTCTGTTCTCTGCTGGGACTCTGCTCTCTGCTGGTACATTTCTCTGGGACAATGCATGTCTTGGACCTGGTAGATAAACAGGGAAAATACTTTTGTTGAATAACCAACAATCACATTAATCAGATCTCTTAAAAATGTAAGTAACTCAGCATTCCCAGAGGTGGATTTCTGTTCACTTGAAGTTATAATTTGTAACATTTCCTCATTAAAATGTATAAAAACTCCTACACCGATGTTATTCATGTTCTGTTGAGTTGTGTACAAACATTATCTCAAATGGTTCAAAGAGACGTGTCATTTTAATCAAGGTAACAGTACGTTCACCAAGGTCTCCTGTAATGGCGGCGTATCCACTTAACCATGAGAAGCTGAAGACTATAACTCCCATGATGCCACGCTGTTTATAGAAGAATAGAATAGAATAGGGAGGGATGAAACCCTCTTTAATGGTCACACATGCAGAGCACACAGCACACAGCACACACAGTGAAATTTGGCCTCTGCTTTTAACCCATCCTAGTACAAGGAGGCTAGTACTAGGAGCAGTGGGCAGCTATTGTACAGCGCCCGAGGAGCAATGGGAGTGGGGGGGGAAGGGGGGTGTCCGGTGCCTTGCTCAAGGGCACCACGGCAGGGCAGGAGGTGAACTGGGACCTCTCCAAGTAGAAGTCCACACTCCATATTTAGGTCTGGTCGGGGACTTGAACCAGCGACCCTACGGCTCCCAGTCCAAGCCCCTACTGACTGAGCCACTGCCGGACACCACCACCATACTAGTTTTTACTATAGTTTTAGAATATAACAGGTTGTGTGTTTAATGTCGTAATGATGCTCTGCCATGGAGCCTTAATAGAGAATGCTATGAGATGGAGCTTTAGAGTTATCAGTCTATCACTGGGTCTGAGCTCAGATGGAGTCTTTACCTTCCAGTGACAAGGGACAATTCCAGACTACGTTTCCACCTTGGTCCTTGACCTTCAAAAACACTCTCTCTGTATATACTACAATTAACATAAAAGATCCATCACAAGTTTGGTTCCTAACTTTACACATTTCTGAAAGGATAGTAGGATATTTAGGTTGGATCGAAGCTGTATCTCAATCATCTGTAGCTATCTAAAAATATTGTTCTTTCTTTCTATTATTTCCCACTCTGGTGAACAATCTGTGGTCCCCAGAGAACCATGACCTTAAACCTGACTGACTCTTATTCCTGCTGCTGGAAGACGAGGCTCGACCCTGGCAGATCGACCTCTGAGGATGTGGACACAGCTCTCACTCCACTTATACAGGAAGTGGATTGCTCTTAGTAATTGTCCCAATACTGCGTAGTCCTGAAATAGCCTACTATCAACAAGACGCCCTGGGGGTCACAGTAATGATCTTTCCCTTCGTCCATAAGACAGGGTGGATGGAAAACTCTATTGACCCCTCCTTGCAAATGTGGAGCCCCAGCCTAACTACTGAACGTATCCCCAGCTGGTGCCCTGACCCAGAGACAAGTTACTCTGAACTGTTGGTCGGTGCGTCAGCAGAGAGAACAGGGACAGCTTTCATCTCAATGAACAACACACTCTCACTCCCTAAGCGTCCAGGAGCGACGCTTGGTCAGGGTCCCGTGGCGTCCAGTTGTGACGCGCCGAGGCTCCTTCAGCTTCATAAACGGACGCAAAGAGCTTTCAACTGATTGCAATGTATTCCCAACCGCGGCGCTATTTGACGCTTAGGGAAGCACCGCATTCGTTTGTGTCGGAGGCTGTTAAAGGCAATGTGAGCGTCCATTCCCATTGGATAACGGAGAATTGTACACCCGGAAGTAAGTATTCCCCTTACTGTCGATTGATTTGACAGAGATATCTCCACTACTCATCAACTCAAAAACACCAGATTATCCTTGTTAATTAAACGACATTGATAGGTATGAGTGTGTGTTCAATGCTTTTGTCACGTTTTCCCCTTCAATTCTGAGAAACAAGTCGTTTTCTATGAGTTTTGGATGGCTGAAGACATTACATTACCCACAATCCTCTGTAGCAACCATAGACTGTATAAAACAATTAAATAATACATTATTCCGAGTGTGCTTGCTTTTCTCTTTGAAAGTCATCACATAACGGCATTGTAATACACGTTTCGGCTGCATTAAATATGACATATCTGCCGTAGTTCTGTATTTATAGAGCCCTGATGACAAGACTTCTAGACAAACAGGAACTGCCGCCAAAACTGAAAACGTGACGTGGATCTTAAATATATCAGCAATTAAACAACATCTTACATTTCTTTTCACACAATACGTCTCCTTGCAGTATCAACACTAATTCGGCTGACTTCTATATTTGATCCAATTGGTAGATAGGCTGTATTTACGCCATAACGGTGCACAGCTGATAGAAAGGGACACCTACTGGTTAAAGCACGTTATTGCATTTTATAATTTTATTATTAGATATTAATAGGAGGATGTGCAAAACAGACAAACTAATAAGGCTTTATTTAAACATTAAAGAATACTTTAGGTTAAGGTCTTCTTTTGAATAAGAAAAAAGCTTTGGGGGTATAGAAGATGAATATGGAGGGATGAAACCCTCTTTGATGGTCACACATGCAGAGCACACAAGCACACACAGTGACATTTGTATCTACAGATAAATATTAAGCCTGACAAAGTACTTAACGTCTAATATATTGCTTTCCTGCAATGTTAACTATGTTTAAGCACTTATTTTAACTTATATTATACATATGTATTATACTCTCATAAGATGTATGTAGATAGTATAAGAAATGTGCAGAATATGACAATGTAATGGTGGAGGTACACACATATTGATAGATGTCTTGTAATGCACTGTTGAGGAACCTGCGACCCAAGTTTTTCATTCATTGCATAACTACACCGTAGTTGTGTATAATATGATATGTCAATAAACCTTCAAAAATCTTGAAATCTTGAAAGGGATCCTATTAATCTCTAATAATAAAATTATAAAATGCAATAATGTGCTTTAACCAGTAGGTGTCCCTTTCTATCAGCTGTGCACCGTTATGGCGTAAATACAGCCTATCTACCAATTGGATCAAATATAAAAGTCAGTCGAATTAGTATTGATACTGCAAGGAGACGTATTGTGTGAAAAGAAATGTAAGATGTTGTTTAATTGCTTATATATTTAAGATCCACGTCAAGTTTTCAGTTTTGGCGGCAGTTCCTGTTTGTCTAGAAGTGTTCTCATCAGGGCTCTATACATAGAGTTAACTACGGCAGATATGTCATATTTAATGCAGCCGAAACGTGTATTACAATGCCGTTATGTGATGACTTTCAAAGAGAAAAGCAAGCACACTCGGAATAATGTATTATTTAATTGTTTTATACAGTCTATGGTTGCTACAGAGGATTGTGGGTAATGTAATGTCTTCGGCCATCCAAAACTCATAGAAAATGACTTGTTTCTCAGAATTGAAGGGGAAAACGTGACAAAAGCATTGAACACACACTAAAACCTATCAATGTCGTTTAATTAACAAGGATAATCTGGTGTTTTTGAGTTGATGAGTAGTGGAGATATCTCTGTCAAATCAATCGACAGTAAGGAGAATACTTACTTCCGGGTGTACAATTCTCCGTTATCCAATGGGAATGGACGCTCACATTGCCTTTAACAGCCTCTGACACAAACGAATGCCGTGCTTCCATGAGCGTCAAATCCCGCCACCGATGGGAATACATTGCAATCAGTTGAAAGCTCTTTGCGTCTGTTTATGAAGCTGAAGGAGCCGTGGCGCGTCACAACTGGACGCCACGGGACCCTGACCAAGCGTCGCTCCTGGACGCTTAGGGAGTGAGAGTGTGTTGCAATGAACCTCAAAGGTGACCTGGGTAACTCTGGAAAAGCAGAGACACCAACACCGGATCCATCCCCAGCAGAGAGGTGACGGTTGTTTGAAGTTTGTATACCATGTCCCTCTCCTTCACCTACAACCCAACTGGCATTGATTGGACCCTTAGACCCAGTGGTGTGTAGACCCCGGTGCCTGGCTGCAGGATGAGGACCTGGTCTGCCTAATAGGGTTGCTTTTTTTCTAAGTAGCTGATCTAAAAAGTGACCCTGCCTGAAACTATTGACCCTGACCACTGAGCTTTCAGGGCCATGGGGGTACCTAAACCCTGACACCATGTACAGGTGGTGTTTCTCTGTGTGGTATATCAGGAGGACACATCCAATCCATGTTATCATTGTGATTCACCTGACCTCAGGTTCCCTGTTTGTAACACTATTTTTTAACTAATGACCTACCTGTCGGTTCTGATGGGATTTTAGATAAGTTCTCCTCCAGAAGATTCTGATTCATCTCCTTCAAAACGTTTCTGGTCACTTTAATACTGTTAATGCCGTAGTTCAGAAACATCTGGTCCACAGTTTGGGTCCGATCTGCACCCTCTAGTCGACTCTTTGGGATTCCTTCAAATCCTAGGACCTCCCCCTGCAGGTGCCACTTGAATTCTTCAAAGTCCTCTTTCCCCAATTGTTCTAAAGTTCTGAAGAGGATCTTTTTCAGTGACGCCATATTTTCTCCCTGCAGAGATCCAAAAGATACCAACAGAAAATATTATATAATCGTGAATTCAAATTGTGTATTTTTACAATTTAAATGTAAAACAATTATTTAAAGAGAGCTCTTCTTGGGTTCATGCAAAAAACGACTTTGTTAGTTTTTCAGCAACACTACTACTTGTTTATTTAAAATAAAACTACTCCAGGGGGGGGGGGGGGGGCTCCCTCCTCTCTGTCCTCACTGATCCATAGCAGAGCCTCCACCTTCACACAAACACAACATGCTCATCACAACAAGAGCATCACAGGACACATTAGTGCTTCTCCTCTCACATCCCCAGGCGTATACTGCCACCCGGAGTCCCCGGCTGGAAGTCCCCGGAGTTGGGACAGGCTTCAGTAGAAGCTGCTGGGACTCCCAGCAGCTTCTACTGAAGCCTTCCGAGTAAATCTCCAGAACGCCGACACCTCCTCATCTCCACCGCTCCCATGTTTTCTTTTGTGTTGCCATAAGTTAGTCTCTCTCCGTTGGTGCACGGGGCTAATGCTAATGCTAATAATGCTAATGTCAGGATAATAAAATGGCAGCTCTACAAAACATTTCAGAGTTGTACGGGGCGTGGTTTGCAATTCGCCCAGCCAACCAGAACTGGGGCACTTTTTTCCCCCAGGAAAGTACCATCTCTCAGCAGGCACTAAAAATGGGGGTAAAAATTCCAGAGATTAAGTTCTCTTTTTGGTGTGAACGCGACATAAGGGGTACTAACGGAACTAAACGCGAAAAGTACGGTGAAAAGTACTCCGGTGTGAACGCGGCTATTGCCAACAGTGCTTGGACCCAGCTAGCACTGACGGTGCTTGTCAGGGTTCTTACACCTTTTCCAAAGTCACATTTTAAGCACTTTTCAAGCATTTTCAAGGTGCATTTTCAAGCTTTTCAAGTATCTTACAACTGTTGTAAATTAAATATTTATATACACATACTTAAACTCAAATGATTATTTCCCTACCTCACATTCAATCAGATGCTCTTTATGCTATAATCAACCACATGTGTGTTTCGTGATAGCATTCTACAACTTTTCAATAAATTCTTTATTAACATTTTTTAGGTACTTTTAGGTTGGCAGTAAACATAAGGCTCTCCCAGGTTAGGCCAAAGGGTGCATTATATGCACACATATACTGTATCAACTCAAATGTGAATTTTCCTTCACATTGAATCAGCAATCAGAAATTGTGCAAATCAAATCAACTTTCAATCAGTCTTTTAGCTCCTTGAGTTGAAAAAGCAAACAAAAGAAAACCTGCACTGAATCATTCAAGGTAAGGCTAAACAGCATACGGCCTATTAGGGAATGTCTTTCAGTTCCTTGAGTTTATCAGTTAGCTGTCTCTCTAAAGTCTCCAGATGTCTTTCCTTTTCCTCAGCAGCTCTACGAAGGCCATTGGACTTGGAGATGAAGCTTAGTTTTCCTTGTGACTCAGCTTTTGCTGCGTTATGATCAGCAGACTTCATGAGGACCCTTATGTCTTCCTCCATTCTCTCCTTTTTGGCTTGTATCTGTGTTATCTCCTCCATCAGTCCTTTCCTCTTCTGTGTCTTCTTCTCATCTTGCTTTAGACGTCTTTGGTTTGGTCATCCAGATACATGTGATACTTCTGCCTGGCAGATGCTGCAGAGAGGAGCAGCTCTTTTGTGTAGGCTCTGTTGAGCAGCCCTCCAACACTGTGCACATGGTGCATTACTCAAGTACTGTACTTAAGTACATTTTTTAAATACTTGTACTTCCATTTTATGCAACTGTGTACTACTTCTACTCCACTACAGTTCAGAGGTAAATCCTGTACTTCTACTACATGTACATGTATTTAATACCTTTAGTTACTTCACAGATGTGGATGAATGATGGTAAATATAACCAAGTGTTAAATCAGACTTTAGTTCCACCTGGAGTAAATTCACAAGCTACCCTGCAGTATACAAAGTCATTCAAACTAGTTGCACCTTTACCAGCTTTGAGAACACTTTCATGATCAATCATTATAAAACATATCATATATATTATTCTGAAATGGACCAATCTGCACAATGACTACTTTTACTGTCGCTACTTTAACTATATTTTGATGAGAATACTTTTCTACTTTCACTTGAGGAACATTTTGAATGCAGGACAAGACCTGAGTACTTCTACTTTTACTCAAATTCAAGATCTGAGTAGTTCTACTTTTACTCAAGTTCAATATCTGAGTACTTCTACTTTTACTCAAGTACAAGATCTGAGTACTTCTACTTTTACTCAAGTACAAGATCTGAGTACTTCTACTTTTACTCAGGTACAAGATCTGAGTACTTCTACTTTTACTCAAGTACAAGATCTGAGTACTTCTACTTTTACTTAAGTACACGATCTGAGTACTTCTACTTTTACTCAAGTACATGATCTGAGTACTTCTACTTTTACTCAAGTACACGATCTGAGTACTTCTACTTTTACTCAAGTACAAGATCTGAGTACTTCTACTTTTACTCAAGTACAAGATCTGAGTACTTCTACTTTTACTCAAGTACACGATCTGAGTACTTCTACTTTTACTCAAGTACACGATCTGAGTACTTCTACTTTTACTCAAGTACAAGATCTGAGTACTTCTACTTTTACTCAAGTACAAGATCTGAGTACTTCTACTTTTACTCAAGTACAAGACCTGAGTACTTCTACTTTTACTCAAGTACAAGATCTGACTACTTCTACTTTTACTCAAGTACAAGATCTGAGTACTTCTACTTTTACTCAAGTACACGATCTGAGTACTTATTCCACCTCTGGTAGCGTATTAGCCTGAATTGTAGCCACAGAATCACGCAGAGCTGCATAAAAATAGACTCACAATGGTAACAAGTGGAAAATAATATTTTGCAAATGTGTACAATGATTTGTAGGTAATGTTGACTATGACTACTCAAGACACCTGACTTATACATCTCCAAAGGAAGACTGTGTTTCTTCTACAATTACATGGGATTAAAGCAAAATGTAGTTTTACTTGTATAATACTGCAAGACTTTATTTAACAGCCTGTTTCTAAAATTATCAACCATAGCGACGCGGTCAAATCCTCAGTTTATAATTTATAACAACATACTAACAAGCTAATGTCTAATTACAACAGTGAGTGCTTCCTCCTCTGAACACCACAGGATGGCGACTGTAACCATCCTGTGGTGTACTGACATAGGTACGCTCCTCTGAAATTATTGTCACCTGCATAAGCAATTATCCCTGATCGAGTTTGCTATTCAGCTTGCTAACGTTACTAGCTTAAACAAATGTAACATGCAACGTTAGCCTAATCCAAAATGCTCTACTACGGCGTACCTTTCATGTGGCTCGTCAGCGCAGACTCGCGCATCGTGAATAACTGAAAGTCTTTTTTGCAAACTTTGCAGAAGGCTTTTCGTGGGGTTGATCCAAGTCTTAGTCATGGCTTGTATTTGTCTTCTGCTAGCCAACTATGAAGGTAGATATGGTGCAAAATGCGAGAGCGTGTAAAACCTGATGTGAGCACTTGCAGAAAAGAAAACTGAGCTTGTGTGCATACATTTACACTTGTATAAAAATATCCACGTATCTGTGAACCACATTTGAAGTCACAGAAGAAGAAAAAAAGTTTTGTAGCTTGTAGAAAAAAATGAACTTAGTGATGAAATGTTCACTTGCAGAAAAATATATATTTTTTAAATATATTTTCCATTACAACTGCAACTTGGTTATTACAAGCTCTCAAATCAGTCATTACAACTTCACGAATCTGCTCTATGGCAGTATAAATCCACGAATCTGCAGCCTTGACTTTTGCTACACTTCTTGCGATGAATGTGTCGCAAAAGTAATTTTCACCTGTAGATGTGGGGGGAGGGAGGGGGGTTGGAGCGAAGGGGCGGAGCTATCACAACGACGAGGCTCGGGTCAGTCACACAGTCACAGCCATAGTCAGGTCGAACCAGATGACTGCGGGGCTAACGGTCCGTGTCGCTACCAGTCCGCTGACATGGCGCGTCAATCAACGGTAAGTTTTGCCCATTACTTCCCCAGTATTACTTTGAATATTATTATTGTGATTGAGGATTAAATCCGCTATGAAGACCACCGTTTTATATTGTGCAGTTTAGCGGCAAAATAACGTCAGTTAGCCAGCTAACGCTAGCTTTGATGAATTTATGCTAGCTAAACAAGTAGTGGTTGTAGTCTATACAGCAGTAATTAATATATTATAGCCTACTGCTTTGGCACTAACGGTTGATAACCGTTTATGAAAATAAAACCAATTGAACTGTACTGAAATAATGACAAGTTTTATAATTGTCTTGGGCTCCTGCTGTGTTTTTAAAGCCTTTGTAAATTATCCATGCTATTTTCTATTTAGAACGAAGACTTCAGAATCTTAAAATCCCTTAACGTTTGTATGCAATTGTGCTAAATTCAACACTGGAATCAAGCAAATATGAATATGTTTGCATGACATTAGTTATTTATATTTTGCCATCACTTAATTATACGTTTAATACATTTAAGTCAAGCTAAGGTACATGTGATGGTAGCTAGTGAGTGCTCTTACCTGTGAGGCCTCCTCCAAACCGCATTATAACCAGACTGTATCATTAAAACTATAAGTACCCGTTCTAGATCCTTGACTTTAGACAAACAATTCAAAAGACAAAATGTATTTAAAGACCAATCTTTATTTGAAGGTGCCTCTTAACCTGAGATATTAGTTATACAGTAATAGTATTGACAATCTAAAAAAACTGAGCAACTCAACAGTCAACTTTATATTTCTTATTGTCACTCTAAAGCATTTATTATTTTCATTTTTCCCCTCTCATATTCAGTGTGGAGTGTGGACGGATTGAGACAGCGTGGTGTCCAGAGAGCTGCAGAGACTTCAGGGAGAAACCTCCGTGTGATGGACGTCCTGTCTGTTGGTTTGGAGAGGACTGAGGGTCTTTCCTCTGCG